TCGTTAGTTTGAGTCTAGATTCACACGAATGATCATCCAATTCTTAAACCAGGGCTCTGATACCAACTTGTAGCATCCCAAAATCACAAAAAAAAATTATATTTAACTAAAAAGAAATTATTTTTTTCAATCAAACCCAAGTCATAAGAACCCATGATCATGTACAAATGTTCCAAAAATCAATGTATCATAACTCTCCAAAACATATAACCAAAGGATGTGTACGATCACGCCTTTGCTTTCCCCTGATCATCTGAAGTACCTGAAACATAAAACTTAAATTGTAAGCCAAAGCTTAGTGAGTTCCCCCAAAGTACCACACACAACCAATACAGATAACAGCATGCATATATGAGCTTTCAACCTGACTGGACCGCCTCGCAAGGCCTACAGCCTATCTGGACCGCTCTTCAGGCCTTCGGCCTAACTGGACTATCTCGCATGCCTTTTGACTTCTATCTATCTGGACCGCTCCATGTATCTTGTCCTTCAACACAAAGCATGACTGCCTCAACCCAACAACCATAACATATCGACATATACAATAAACAATCAATAACCAGAAACACAGGTAATCATACAGATTTACCAATACAACGCACACTCAGTGAACAAATATAATCATATAGATCTACTAATCTAACACATACTCAGCATAACATCAATCCAATATACCATGATACATAATCCACTGGGTCGGCATTGGTTCCTTCGACCTACAAGTACAATGAGGAAAACTTACCTCACAGTCTGAGAAGAATGTGGCTCCAAATGCCAACTCTACAGGTCACATATACAACAAACAATGACTTAGTCTCAAACTACTGCTCAAAATACCCAAAATACCCCTAGGTCAAACTTGGTCAAAATCCCGGTCAAAGTCAAGGTCAAAAGTCAAGATTTCCATCTGGGCTGAGTACGCCTTGCGTACTCCCCTCTACGCCAAGCGTAGAGGGTGCCCTTCCAAACCACGGGTTCGAACCCTGGTATGTGCAACGTACCTCTACGTACGCCCAACATACCAAAGCTAAATCCCAACTTTTCAATTAAGTTCTTATTACGTTAAGCCAAAGCTCCAAACTTCAGATACTGGTAAAAGGGACGTTTTAATGGATAAAGTCTCTAACTTTATCCATTTGCATGCATACAAGAGGGTAAAAACTCAAACCCTTAGTCCAAAAATCATCCAAAGTCCCAAAACTATTGCATGGCTCAATAAGAGTGTCCAGGCTCTCATTTTTATGAATCTATGAGCTCAAAACTACAGGAAACTACATTTCAAGGACCTCGAGTAGCTCATACTCCATTAGACCAAACTATAAGACCAAATATGCATACAGACTCTAAACTAACAAGATCTAAGCAAATAACACATCAAGATCCAAGCTTTATACCTCCAAATGATGCTTGAGGGCAAGATACTTCTGGATCCACGATGCCTTGAGCTTCCAAGTTGATTCAACTTCTTTATTCTTCCTTCAAGATCACCAAAAGCACACTTTCAAGCTAAAAATGCCCACACAATGGATTAGGGTTAGCAACGGACGATTTGGGAGATGGAGGTTGATAAGGGAAAAGGTCTTGAATAGATAATGATGTTTAAATAGGGCTTAAACCCTAAAAATTAGGGTATGACCCTCAGCCACTTACGCCCGGCTTAAGCTGAAATACGCCCAACGTACTAGGCACACACGCGTTTTTTACTTGAAGAGCCAAGGGACCAATTTGTCAATAAATTTCACACTAGGGGTATAAACGGGAAATACATGGATCGAGGTGTTACATGTCAACATTGAATGACAGTTAAAGTATGGAGGTTATGTGGCAGTTAGGTTAAAGAACATACGAGTAACATCAACATCATAAGAGGAATGTAGAGAGTTTGAAGTTGTCAACAAGAAATAGTCAATATGAGGGGTACTTTGTCCATATTTTTTATTCGTATAAATTAGCAACAATTGTAATTTTTTTATATAATAAAAAAGATGTGTTATCTTTATAAAAATTTGTTAATAATAAATTATAATATACATTCGGTCAAATGTAATCTTTAAAAAAGTCTCAACATTTTGGTCATTGGTTAAAAATAACGTAATCTTCAGAAAAGTCTTGATCAAATTAACAAAAAAACATGATACTGACTAAACTTGTAAAACCGGCAAAAAAAGATTATGCTGAAGCGGTATTTTGTTCTTTTTTATAAACAAAATTTAATTTGGAATTAAACCGAAATGACCTAAAATATTTTACGCTTATCTGCAAAACCGGTTATTTCGAAGTTTTCACCGACATTTTGTATTTTTTTATAAAAAAAAATTGTGATTAAACCATAAACTGATTCAAAATATTTATGACTATCATTTATTTCCCTTTTTTATTTTCTTGACTATTTTATGAAGAAAAAAAAAAAAAAAAAAAAAAAAAAAAAAAAACCTCTAAAAAAACTATTATGGATATCTTCTCTTTAATATGACTTCTTTTACCGATCTTTTCGTTGTATCAAAAATTTTCAAGTGAAACAATATTATGAGGTGGGAAAATGAGATATTGTCATAAAATCGTAACATTTCATAAAAGTAAAATTTTCAATTGACAAACTTCTTCATTGCAAATTTTTTATGAATTTAGAAAAACAAATATTGTTATGAAATAAAACCCTCTAAAAAAACTATTATGGTTATCTTCTCTTTAATACGACTCCTTTTACCAATCTTTTTGTTGTATCTAAAATTTTCAAGTGAAACAATATTATGAGGTGGGAAAAATGAGATATTGTCATAAAATCGTAACATTTCATAAAAGTAAAATTTTCAATTGACAAACTTCTTCATTGCAAATTTTTTATGAATTTAGAAAAACAAATTGAGAAAATTACACGGATGTTCCCTGTGGTTATGGGTTATTTGCACGCTTGATCCCTAGAAAGATTTTTTAACTCGACCCAGTCCCTTTGTTAACTTGTCCGTCTGTTTAGTTGTTAGGAACTCCAGATTGAGGACTTTTTGTCCTTTCATCTTTGGAGGGGCTTAAATGTAACTTTCTTCAAAAATATTAACATCCCAATTTTTGTTGAGCACATTATCGTACACCATTTTTGACCAACTAACTCCATCACCATTGAGATCAAATTGATTAATCATACGAACACACTCATCCACACTTCTCGACTAACCCATTCGATTCAACATTAGGTTTAAGCTCTTGGGAGTGATGCAATATGTTCCATCCATTTCATACATACTAAAGGCTTTCCTCAAGTCCTCAAGCTTCTCATCTTCCTTTGCACTTTCCATTAAACCAACAAAATCTTCAAACCTTAATTTTCCATGGTTTCCATTTGACAATTCGACAACAAATTCAACATCTTCGAGTAAAATGTCTTCGTCCCAGATCAATCCAACGCAATGTTGTAGCTATGATGGAGAGATCATATTGTTTCCATATCTATCGAAGTGACTGAATACGCGTTTGTAATCACTTGAGTTCTTGTGAATGACTTTACAATCTGAGTTGGATCGATTAAGCAAATAAACGAGTAAATTATGATTTGGAAGATTGATGTTCTGGGGCGAATTTGGTATAAGTTATATAGATACCCATTATACACGTTGTTGAATTTGATGCTGAAACGATAAAAAAATCGATTTTTGGGTAATGTTTCAACCGTTTTCTCCATGGATTTGATGTCTTGGGATGAAATCAATTTTTGGGTAAAACTTCAATCAACTTCTCCATTGAAAGTCAATCAGGCGAAGCTCTACCTCTTCCTCAAAGTTTGTTCAAGAGCGAGTTCAACGAAACTGGTTCCATCGAAACTCAAATTCAATCATTACTCTGATTTCGAAATCCTCCGTTGATTCACCAATGAAATCAGGTAACCCAATCAACAATCATACCCTAAACATCAACACCACAAAAGATTTTCAAATCAAACAGGACATTCAAAGAATCATTATTGGCACAAGGGTAGAACCAGAAATATGAAGAACATGATGATGAAGGATGAACCCTAAAATCCTCCGTCAATGAATAGTTTTTTCCAAGGAATAGAAATCAATTTGCGATGAACAAAACTGAAGATATCCAAAGCGATCAAGGGGAAGGGGTGGGTTTTAAAGGTGTTGCAAAGGTGAAAGGACAAACATGCCCCTAGTGCGGGGGTTGTTAACAACTAAAGAAACGAACAAGTTTTAATGAAACGAACAAGTTAACACAGGGACTGAGACTGAGCAGGTAACAAATTAAAGTTTCAGGAATGGTCGAATTAAAAAATCTTTCTAGGGACCAAACGTTCAAGTAACCCATAACCACAGGGACGAGCCGTGTAATTTTCTCAAAGAAATTTTATATAAAAGTTGTAAGACATGTCTTATTTTGTAAAAACGAAGATTTCTATAAATAATAAAAGTTTTATAAAAGTCGGGAATCTACACTTGGTGACTTGGGGAATATATTTGAATTTTTTTACTTGCATAAAGTGACAAAAATGGTCTCACCATTGTAATTAATAAAAAAAAGTATTATCAAAATAAATCCCATAATGAAAAAGCCGGTTCTTAGTTCTTACTATGGCTTTCTTGAAATTACAGAAATTGAAGCCCACGTCTCCCTCTATCAATGTTTTTATGTGCACACATTATGGTATCAAGAGGCAAACACACCATTCCCATTCCAAATTAGGAAGTATTGTATAGTATAGTATAGTATATACAATCACCTTTAAAAGGGTAAAACGGTAAAATCCGACGAGCCAAGTCATATTCACATAGAAGATGATGATGATGATGATATCGACAGCTCCATTGGGCAACCATGTTCCCGCTTCAAAGGGATAGTTTCGTCTTTTTCTACGGGTTACTTCTTTTGTTTTAAGAAAAAAAAAACACCTTTTTGATTCTCTCTCCTGTTCTTGCTCCATTTGTAAAATAGGGTAGTGGAGTCCCCTCTAGGGTTTCGGGAATATTTCCTTTTTTCTTCAATTCATGATTATATGTTTTTGATTACTGGTTGATTGAAAGAATATTTTCCCGGGTGCAAGCAGGTTTTAAATCCATTACTGCAAAAAAAATGTACTTTGAAGAACAAATTATACAGGAATCAAAAAGGTAATAGAAAAAAAATATATGTTGTAATAGAAAGAAAAGAAAGTATGTTGCTATAATAAGATGAAGGAATACCTTTAGTGACACACCTAAGAGCCAGAACTTGGCTTTTGAACCCACACTCGCTTCTGAAAATAACAATCATCACATACTACTAAATTAGAAGACTAAATGGGAAAGAAAAAGAAAATGGTCAACAAAAAGTTGACCTCGATGTGGGACCCACACCCACCTCATAGCCAGACGAAACACCTCTTTTTGGAGGTTTTCCCTCGTTTGAATTTGAAAAGACATCTGCGTCCTTATTAGCATTATGTGAAGATGTCCGGCGATTACCACTGTGTTTATAGGAGGAGCCTGCAATGCATGCGTAAAAAATAAGCATACAGCCGATTATATAACGAGGGTATTTTGGTCATTTGACAAACCTTCTGCACTATCCGGTAGCAGTTGTGTGGATTGAGAAGTGGAAGATGACAAAGACTCATCACTCGCATGTGACCTTAATGGAGTCCAAACACCACAATCTGGTTTCTCTTTATTCCTAGACCTTTTATCCATTTTTTCACCATAAAATCCATCTTGAAGTTTATCATCTTGTAAACCATTTGAATCCTTTGAAAGTGGGCCCACATTTTGTGGCCTAGGTGGTTTTTTATCCTTATCTTGATTCAGACTCTGATTCTGTTCAGATTGATTTTGTCTTGAATCTTTCAGAAGTATGCTTCTTATGATCCTTCCACTCGCCTCCTGTCGTTGATTCTGTCTGCCACCACCAGAACCATATAAAAGTTTCTGCTGAGGTGTCACGCCAGTGGTGACCTGGAATTTTTAAAAAGTGACATGGTGTATCATATTTTATTGAAAAAAAGTGCAGCATTGTAGGATTAGAATTTAGAACTTACATTGGGAATTTCCTTTTCTTTTCCTTTTAACAGCAAAATTTTCTTCTTCCCAGTATCAGAGGCTCCAAAGGAACCTGCAGAAATATAAGTAACTTAAAGGGCAAATTGACCTAAAATGAAATTAAAAATTACAAGAAATTTAAGTAAAAGGAACATGTTACATATTTACATACCCTTTTCTTCATCCAGTACTACACTTCCAGATTGAGTGGATGAATTAGGAGACTTTTCAGAAGCCTGACGTTCAGCTCGTTTAACATAAGTTGACTTTTCTTTCCCATTTGTGCTCTTTCCACCTTCCCTTAGGACATACTGTTAAATATATCACAATAACATATGAGATATTTAAAAAAAAAAAAATCACCATCTTGCAATATGTATTTACATATAAATTCATTTGATGATGAAGGTTAAGATAGTGATACCATGGTAGAACTTCTCTTTTCAGAACCACGTTTCACTACAGTAGAATTTGAACTTAAAGATGATGCACCATTCCTTCTCATTAATTTCCCATTAGGCAAAGACCTCTGCAGAAAACAATGGAAAGCAGTGGGGATGAATAGAAATTAGATAGCTTTATTACATTAAAGATGATATCACTTCACAAAGGATTTGTTGTAGTAAGGTAAAAGCTTGAACAAAGAACCAATGTGTGGATATGCCTTTTGCAACTTATGTAATTAAACCATGTTCTGATTCACAACTAAAAGCACCTCTATTATTTCACTTTCTCATAGTTGTATGTTCGTGTAACTTGATACAAAATAAACTACATTCTCAAAAGTAGAACTCCTACCCGGGGTCCACCCTTGGCAGCTCTTTTCTGGCGAACAAAATCCATTAATGGTGTGACTATAGGAGCCTCTTTAGCAGCACCTGAAAGATCATGGTAGAAAACTCAAATTTAAGTTTATTGCAAGAGAAAAAAAGTTAAAAAAGCTTTGGACTTACCAGCTCGTTCAGCTTCTTTTCTCTCCAACTGTATCTCTGCACTTGGAAGATTCTCAACAGGCTTTGAAACAGATTCAAGGAATTCAAGATATTCAGGATCTATAATATGTTCATGAAAAAGTTGGTTGTGAGTAATAAGTAAGATAATGTGTTAGATGTCAATAATAAGCTTCATAATACCTTTCCCTATGGTCCCTTCACGCCCATCCTTTTTAGACCATTGCTTTGGAACACGCTGTGAAGGTGCATACTCAACTATTGTTTTAAATTGGGTACCTGAGATAATGAAAAAAAAGTAAATTTTAATTCATAATAAGAGATGTTGGTTTAATGAAAAAATTACCCTTCTCGTTAACAAAAACATGCCCATCATAGAACTCTGCAAACTCAATGACATCCTCTGGCCTCTTAAAGTCAATATAGGCTCTGGAATATGATTGACACTTCAGGCTGCAAACAGAGTTCAATAGAAGAAAAACTGTTATTAACTTATTCTGGGAAAAAAAAAAAAAGATGGTCCCAACACATACATTGAGCATATAGATACATGCTGATTCATGGTCACCACTTGTAAAGGATGAACATAATTACATGTGGGGACTGGGGGAGAAAGTTGCAAGAATGAGACTGTCAAGATGGCAATGCTACTTTTAAATGAAAAGAAGGAAAAAAGAAAAGAGGTATGTAAATGAAGCTTTTCTTTCTCTTCCTACAGCAATTAATCTTATTTTCCAGGCGAAAATCTTTACCAAACTTCCCTCTGTTCAAATTCTACTTCCGGTTAAGCTAAAATCACCACAAAACAGGGCGAACAACCCCTTCAAATGAACTCCATGGTCTAACGCTCATCCCACAACACAATGAAATCAGCTTTTAAGGGCCTAAAGATTTAATTTCTTAGTCTCCTAACATCCAGAAACTAGGGATAACCAAACGCCTAAATCACTTTGGTTGATAGAAAGCAAGTCTTCCAATTGTTGTAAGGTAAGCTAATCAGCAACATTCCATAACCAGTTTTATAAACAAATTTCAACATGCTAGCAGTAAACCGAAGCTTAAACGGACTGAACACAAAACCCTAACCTTTGCTTTCCGGAACGGAAACTGAACCAATTATAGCGACCGGAAAAACGGGCGTCAATTTGCTCCATGAGCGCCGACTGGGAAATCGTATGCGGCAAGTGCCGAAGCACAACTTTCGTCCGATCTAACGGACCCTTCATGCGTTTTTCCGCGAACAGCAAAACCAAACCCTATAATCTTTTTAACTATGAGAAAACGAACTTTAATCCTTCGAAAACGTTATTCGTGCAGAATAGGGCAATTACATCTCATTCGTTGCGTTACAACCGATGGTAAGTAGTCGATTTCGTGCCCTAATTTTTTTAATTTTAATCCCAAACTGCATTGAAATAGAAAGTCATACGCCAGGGATTGGGGAGGGCGATATATGGAATTACAGAAAGAGTGACGAAAGAGGATTTTGTTCTGCGTACAAAACTACAAATCGTTCTTCCTACTCCATACCTAAAATATATATTTATGGTTTTAGATAAACTTATCAATAATAATAACTAGTGTGGTTCCCCCTCACCATTGTGGCTGTTCTTATATGTTTATTGAACCCGTTATTAATGAAATGCCTCTTGTTTTATTCACAAAGGATGACGATGAGAAAATGATAACAAAACGAAACTCAAAACGGAAGCCCAAATCGGTAGACGGAAAAGGGACAAAAGGAATGTTAGAATGGTCAAAGGGACTGAAAGTGAGAAATATTAAAACACGTGTGGTTAATATATAATGAAAAATAAGTAGTAAATGAAAAAAAAAAAAGGACAAAAGGAAGGCAAAAATGGTGACTTAAAGTGGGAAATACTAAAAGACGTGTGATCAATTTCTAATTACAACAGGTCAGGGACCAAAATTGTCAAATTAAACACAAAAGAACCAAAATTGTCAAAGTAAACACAAAAGGACCAAAATTGTCAAAGTATAAACAAAATGACTAAAATTATCAAAGTGGACAAAGTATTGTGGTAAATTCTTAAAAGATACAAAGTATATATTAATGACCATGTCTATTAATATAGTATATAAATACATTAGTATTCTTATAATTCTTTTATTATTACTTTTATTTTTAGGAAAATTCTTAGAAATTTTTCAATATTTTAGGAAATTTTTAACAAACTCCTAAATTTTTTTTTAACATAAAAGTTTCGACTATTTAACTTTTTGAATAGAAAAATCCAAAAAAGACCGGCTAGTTTATTCACTTTAGCATTTTTGACCTGTTCAATATGTCATTGGACCAAATCGTTAATTTTTCTAAAATAATGGGACTTTTTTGTAGATTTCTTCAAAATTTGTATATAATGTATAAATGTATTTTTTACGTATTTATATATTTTTTTAAAAGTTTTTATATGTATATGTTTACCTGCTCACAGTCGATCACCGCCCCATTAGAGCTCAACCAATCCATGCCTATGATGACCTTGTTCCCTCGCAGGGGAATAGGAACCAAATCCACGAGATAGCGCCCGCCACACATCCTCAGTACGCAATCTCTATACACTTTCCGAAGCCCGTACGGATCGATCGTCCGCAATCTCGACCTCTAAGGGACAGTCCAACATGCTCGTAGACTCGGCAAACCTCTTGTTGAGTGCAAGAGATACGAACGATCGGGTAGCCCCCGAGTCGAATAACACCAATACTGGGATATCGTTCACATTGAACGATCCTAAAACATAATACATGGAATATAAATATCAGACTGGCATACAATAAAAGCTAGGGAGAAGAAACATACTCGTCACCACATCTGGTGCGATACGCGCCTCCTCGGTGGTCAACTGGAAAGCTCGGCTCCTCACCACAGGAGCATCTGACTTGCCCTAACGGCCATCTGTGATCCGCAGGGTCGCTGGAGCTGGCGCCGCCATTGGCGCTCCTGATACCAATCTCGGGCAGTTGGCCTTTTTATGGCCCCTCTGATTGTAGTGGAAACAAATCAGGTCTGATGTCTGAATGATGGGGGTAGGGGCAGTACAATCCGTGCTAAAGTGCCCAGTCCTGTCGCACTTGTAGCATCCCGATCCCCCAGCCCTGCAAACTCCCTCATCTAGCTTGCCACATTTCCCACAGCGGCTCCGGCCCTAGTGGCCCTTCGACCTCGCTCTCGCTGCTGAGCATAGAGTCAATCCACCCTGCGACCTCTCGCCCCAGATCACTATCCCTCCCCCACTAGGAGTCCGAATCCTCACTAGTTGTTGCTCGCAGTCAATCACTGCCCCATTGGGGCTCAACCAATCCATACCCACTATAACCTTATTCCCTCGCATGGGAATAGGAACTAGATCCACTGAAAACTGCTCATCGTATAACTGTAACGTACACCCTCGGTGAACTCTCGCAACCCTAACGGTCCTATCGTGTGCTATCTCCACATCAAGTGGGCAATCCAGCTCTCCCGGAGCTCCTACGAATCGCTTGCTGAGCGCGAGTGACATAAAAGATAGGGTGGCACCCGAATGAAACAATACCAAGGCTGATATACCATTCACTAAGAACGATCCTATAACAAACACATAAACATAAGCAATAATCAATACAAATAAAGAGATAAGGATAAGATGCATACCCGTAACGACATCAGGAGCTGCACGTGTCTCCTCTGCTGTCAACTGGAAGGCTCTGCTCTTCACCATTGGTGCCTCTACCCGGCCCTGACAGCCGTCTGTAATCCTCAATGTAGCAGGGGCGGGTGCCGCCACCTTCCCTGTTGCTGCTAAACTTGAACACTGGGACCTCTTTATGGCCCCTCTGATTGCACTGAAAGCAAATCATATCAGATGATGTGATAGTGGTGGTAGCAGTACAATTCTTGCTGACATGCCCAGTTCGGCCGCACTTGAAGCAGCCCAAACTACCAGCCCTACACGGCCCATCGTGCCCCCTGCCACACTTGTCGCAGCGGCCTTGGCCCTGCTGGCCCTTCCCCCGGGAATCTACCTAGGGCTTTTTGCCCGAGACCTCCACGCCAGACATCGATTTTGGCTTCCTCTTCCCCTCCATCTCTAAATAAGCCTCTCTCTCTCTCACGAGCCCTAGCAATCATATCCTCCAGCGTCTTGCAGCTGGAGCGGCTCATAAATCGACGGATGTCACTCCGCAACATCTCATGATATTGGGTCTTCTTCATCTCCTCGTCTGCCACATATTGCGGAACGAGAAGGGCCCTCTCCCTAAACTTGGTGGTGATCTCCGCCATAGTCTCTGTCGTCTGCTCAAGATCCTGGAACTCTCTAGCTAGCTGTTGCACCTCAATCACAGGTGCAAACTCGGCCTTGAACCTGGCCGAAAAATCATTCCAGGTCATCGCATATAAAACCACATCATCCCCAATGGCTCGTCCGACCTCCTCCCACCAATCACGTGCCCTGTCATTCAGAAGACAGTATGCAAGTCGGACCTTGTCCCCCTCGGGACATCTGCTGGTGCGGAATGCGTTGGCGACATCCGCCAACCATCTGGTACTCGTAATGGGGTCCCAAGCCCCATGGTAATCGGGAGCTCCACAATCCCTGAACTCCCTGAATGTCAGTGAGCGTGCTTCGAGCATGGCCGCCATCTCGGTGCGGGATGTACCCAACCTCTCAATAAGTATCTCTAAGATGCCCTCCTTGACCAATCCAAAGATCACAGGAGTCTGGTCTAGAATGTTGTGTGTGATCTCAGACGAGATGAACTCTTTTGTCTGCTCATCCAACTGCTCGGCTCCAAAGCCCAAGCCTGATCCCTCACCGGCGCCTGAACTGTCGCCTGGCCTAGTGCGTAGTGTCACCATACAGAAAATACACCATAACAAACACCAGTATACCCATCATAACTTGAGGGATCTCACATACTACAAGTTTCCTGGATTCATCTCAGCCTTCCTTGATTCGAGTACGGATCCTCTGCTTTCAGTAGTACGGGCCCATACTACCTTCCACATCTATCCGTACTTTCCTCGAGAACTGCCTTGACTCCACCAAGTCCCTTCTACTACTACTGCTGATCTCATGCTAATCTCATCCTAGGCTTGCCCTAGGGTAATCACCAACCCACTCTCCACCATCAGCTGCATAAGAAGTCCCTTCCATCTCCCCCTAACTAGCTCGCGAATACCATAACATATCACTAAGACTATATAATTCTTCGAATGAGAGGTCCTACCCTGCAACGGTTGGACTCGGACAAGAGCTGCGAAATAGAGCTAAACTTAACCTTCTGAAATTATTTAGTCCTCGTAATATGTAACTTAGCATATTCGTTTACTAGTTAGTAAGAGATAATTAGAACTCCTATAAGCACAAAGCAAGCAGCATTCGAGCATTGAGTACACATAATCAAGCATATCCTAATCAAGCCATCACTAACTAATTTGTACTAGCATGTAGTTCTCATAAAGCCGATACACATATAACAAGCACATAAGGCATCCTTCCTAGATCCTTAGTCCTACTCTAGCATGTAGTTCTCATAAACATATCATAACATAAACTTGCATGGGTAATTTGGGAGTACTTACTTGAGCTCGGCTGATTGCATGCACCACACCCTTTTCTCTTTTCAAAATCCTTTTTTTCTTTTCAAAGTTATTTTTTATAAAATGATTTTCTTTTTGAAAATTTTCATACCAAGTCCTTAGTTTGAGTTCAGACACACCCGAGAGTGTGTCCGAATCCCTCAAACCAAGGCTCTGATACCAACGTGAAACATCCCAAAAATATGGTCCAAAAATTTCTTTTTAAAATCATTTAAGTAAACCATAATGTATCCACATCATAATAAAATCACAAGTCATGTATCCAAAACATCATATCCAAATACTATATCAAAACCATGTATCAAAATATCAGAGTCTAAAACATCCCAGGCCATAAACTGTGGTTTGTGTCATGCAGTCATCCCGAGCTCTTCCCCTTGCTAGTGGAAGTACCTGAAACCAAAACTGAAAACGGTAAGCACGAAGCTTAGTGAGTCTCCCCAATCTACTGCATACCATACACATAACATACAACTAGGAGATACGGGCCCCGCCCACTCTCATGGAGATTCGGGTCTCGCCCACACTCCGCTGTCTAGGAGATTCGGGCCCCGCCCACACTCCGCTACTAACATGTATACAAGTATCACACAGACAACAAGTATATCTAATTCTATCAAGAAGACACAAATCTATACTCAAATAATACTACGAGATTCGGGCCCCACCCACACTCGGCTACTATGAGATTCGGGCCCCGCCCACACTCAGCTACTAACATATCATACTACGAGTCGGCCTTGGTGTCGTAGACCCATTCCTACTGAAGGAAACTCACCTCGGAAAGCTGACTGTTGAAATCTCGAGTGAGGAATCTCTGACGGCTGCTCCCACGACTCCCTGACTATTATTATCACAATAACACTTAGTCAAAACCTGATAATTCTCCTTAGGGTAAAATGACCATTTTACCCATGGTCA